GGAATGTTGCATGTTGAATGTTGCATGTTGCATGTTGAATGTTGCATGTTGAATGCTGCTGCACGTTGAATGCTGCATGTTGAATGTTGCATGTTGAATGTTGCATGTTGAATGTTGCATGTTGAATGTTGCATGTTGAATGTTGCATGTTGAATGTTTAATGTTGCATGTTGAATGCTGCTGCACGTTGAATGCTGCATGCTGAATGCTGCATGTTGAATGTTGAATGTTGCACGCAACACTGCCACTCTGATTCTCGCTGTTTTGGTTCGGAGTATGGACAGTGGTGAACTCACCCCAGTATCTGCACGGCTTTAGAGAGAGTGGAGTCGTTAAGCATCGTAGGTGCCAACTCCCAGTGCAAGTCACCTGTGTGAACAACAAGCAATACTAACTACTCGGGCACATTTCAAGTCGGGCCTAGCATCAACAAACAACGAAACACAACAACAACAAAAACAACAACAACAACAACAATAACGAAGATATAAATCCATTGGCCTCGTCTCTGTTGCTCAATGGTTTGATGGTAGTAGATCCAAGTCTTTATAAACTAAAATTTTCCTTTTCCTGCCAAATCCGAAACAGGCGACTACCTTCCTACATGCAGCTAGACAGCTACAGTCAAACCTGTGCCAGTGGTCACCTTTATAAAACGGCCACCTGCCTATAAATAACACTTGCTATTTCCATTGAGCAGCAATTGCACAGTGAATCAAACCTCTATAGAAAGAACGCCTGTTTATAAAGGACACTTTGGGAGGGGGGTCCTTAGAGTGACCATCATAAACACATTGTTACACGGGTTCTATAAATTTGCTCCTGCTATGTCCTGAACTTGGCAACTGACCATATCCTAAAGTAACATGGACTCCAAAACTGAGTGCTACCTTCACCCAAGTTGTCTTTCAACTCAGATTCTCCGCCACTGCTTTTTTAATGATAGCAAGGAACGGTTTTTTTCATTACTCGACTAACCCAATAAGTGACTTGGCTTCTCCCGCTGCAGTTTTGACGTTTACAGATGGGAATTATTGTCTAGTGTACTTACACGGTTTCAACCAACCATCTTGTGACATTCTAGCAAGAAAAGGGGAGGCGAGATTAATTCAATTTTTGCAGAACGTTGGAGTGCCTTGGCCAAAAAGTCTCATTTCGACGAGATATATTAGAGCAAATTAAATGTCTACGAGAGCTGACATTTCTGAGCTATTTCCCTACGGCAACGCTCACGACTTGAAGACACCGACAACACAACAGGGTGACGGACACGATCCGGTTTGCAAGGTCGTGCAAGGTCGTGCTTCCGTGAGGTCTCATCTACACCTCGACACGACGCACGCACGCACGCACACGCGTACGCACGTACGCACGCACGCACGCACGCACACACACACGCACGCATGCACGTACAAACACACACGCATGCAGAATGGCACGGACAGTGGCCCGCGGTCGTGCGGAGAAGTCAAGAACATATATGCTATATAATTGCCAAACCCTACCTAATTTGCATATTTTTTTTAAATATCAAAACCCCTAGCCTTTATTCATTCACATACCAAAAATGAGCAAAATCCGTTGAACCTGAACTGACTAATGGACATTCCCATTTTTGCCAAAAAATTGCCGTGGCTCGAAAGTACGTCGACTGGCGTGCTCCAAAATAGGACGTTTAATATGGGAGCATAGCAGTAACAACTATACCCAATTTCAAACATGTGGGTCAAACGGTTCCTGAGTTATCGTTGACGGTAGCCAAATGTTGACGGACGGACGGACGGACGGACGGACGGACGGACGGACGGACGGACGGACGGACGGACGGACGGACGGACGGACGTACGATGGACGACGACCCATGGCAATAGCTCAGCTTGACGATGTCAATGTGAGCTAATAAATGGCATGCATCTTGTCAACAATATTAACGCGTGATTTCCGAACCACAAATTAACAAATATGATATAAATTACATGTAAGCGCCATCACCTTCGTAGTAACGTGACTATAACGTCGCCAATAATGCAGACGAAACCACTACACCTCCACTTGTACCCACTTTCACCGCGAAAATATTCGCGCAATATACGCAGATACGCATTCACGGTTTACAAACTGCCGATGCACAACCCTCTTAACCGGCTCCGCCTCCTTTCTATCTCATTAATCAACAACATCTTAAGCTCGAATCACAGAAACCACACATCCCACGCTGGTAAGTACATGTGATCCAGTAGAGATAAAACCGCGAGAATCAACAACGCACGGTCGTCGCAATAACGACGGCGACACGTCAAAATCGTCATCGTCATCGTCGTCGTCGTCGTCATCGTCATCGTCGTCGTCATCGTCATCGTCGTCGTCATCGTCATCGTGCGTGCATCAACGCGGGAGCGTCAGCGGCGTGTTTCACGTCATCGACTACGACCTAGATTTGCAGTAGCTCTACCAGTGTAACCCCTTCACTCTCTCTACAGGCAGTGAGCTAGATTTGCGGTGGCGGCGGTGGCGGCGGCGGGCGTTGTCGGGGTGCAGTTACAACGTGAAGACACACTGGTCGTGAAGATACGCACGCACGCATGCACGCACACGCACGCACGCGCACGCACGCACGCACACGCACGCACATGCACGCACGCACGCACACACACGCACGCACGCATGCGCTCACTCATTAACCGCAGCAGATCAATCAGCACCTAATTACAGACTCATATTTGCCGAACAGCGGGGAGGCCGCATAATGCAATCCCTCCCTGAACAAAGAGATCACGCTGGGGGGAAGCGTAGCAGGAAAGCCGGGTATCATAGAGACACGTTAGCGACTCGTGTAGAGAGAATATCTACATGCGTGTATATGCTAATACCTTGCGTGGAGAGGCGTAGCAGGAAAGCCACAAGGCACGTTAGGGACTCGTGTGGAGGGAATATCTATATGCGTCTATACGCCAATACCTTGAGTAGGGAGGAGGGGGGGGAGAGCGCGAGCCGGGTGTCAAGCCAAGGTAATGCATACATAATTAGCGGACCATTCAATATGCATATAATACGCGTACATTTGTCGGTAAATGAAAGACCGTGACCCGTCGTTTCATGAGAAAGCTCGACCGTGCGAAGCCATTCTCTAAAATTGCGCAGACGTGACTTGCGATGAAATGAAACGTGCCCAAACGACGAAGGGTTGGCCATGCACACACGTGCTGCGGCCTATATGTTTGCCTCATCTATGGTCCACATCACGTCTCATTACATAACCATCATTCATTTGTCGTCATGCAAACGCATTTCGGCTTTATTTATTTATTACGCACTTTATTGAATTCTGGGGGTAACGCGGAGCCGGAAGAGAGAGAAAGAGAGAGAGAGAGAGAGAGAGAGAGAGAGAGAGAGAGTCACTCTCTTCCTCTATCGCTCTCTCTCTCTCTCGCTCTCTCGCTCTCTCTCTCTCGCCCTCGCTCTCCCTCTCTCTCTCTCTCTCTCTCTCTCTCTCTCTCTCTCTCTCTCTCTCTCTCCAGTCTACACCCTTCTTATAATGGGACTATCTAGTAATTACGTAAGGCGACTCTATAGGAGGCACGACGATTACGGCCGCCATTATGCCTAATTATTCGCAAAAACACGAGCTGGCTTCGCGTATCAATTCAACACCCATCGACGTCACCGCTGCCCCCTCCCCCCGATGTCACAAACAAGCGAACGCTCATCATGTGCCTATGCCTCAACCTGCCTGTCTGCCTGCCTGCCTGCCTGCCTACCTAGCTTTATTTTTATTCAATACCCGAATATATCGAACTAGCCAAACGGAGAGACGAATTATACGAACCTGTACGGCTTCTTGCTGCTGGAACAGAGTCGTCTTATCGGATGCCCCACTGAAGTCCAGCTTACTGTACCACACCTCCAGCCTCTCAATGCCAACCTGAATCACGACACATCATCACGAAGTTATCACGTCTACCGTGGTGGTGCTTACCCATGGTTCGTACAGGAAGACTGAATTTTTTTTCAAGGACTTTTCAAGGACTTTTCAAGGACATTTTATCGGAAATTCAAGGACATTTTATCAGACATTTTATCGGAATTCATACACAGAACAAAACATACCTGGATTAATTTAATAACCCCATTCTTAATCACTGCATGTCACCTCTAAAACTTAACATTACCTGGATCACATTAATAAACCCTTCTAAACACTGTCACATCTACAACATACCTTGATTTACTGACTGATTTTAGTGACTTACTGTAATTTGTGATCATCATTTAACTGTCTATCGTGTCTATAGCTTTTTAAGCTCATTTAACGGAATTTTTATTGAGGTTTACACATTATTGATGGTACAAAATTTCTTTTTATTACAGGCAATGATTCTTTCTAAAAATTCAAGGACATTTTCATGAAATTCAAGGACTTTTCAAGCACAAAATCAACATTTACTAAATTCAAGTACTTTTCAAGGACTCCCCTCAAATTCAAGTACTTTTCAAGGACTCCCCTCAAATTCAAGGACTTTTCAAGGACTGCACGAACCATGTTACCAAAAACAATTCATAATAATGTTAATTAAACAAACTCGCTCGTTCGTGTTTTGAGTTTCGTCGATGGCACGTTGGTTCCCTCAACGTAGCATGGAGAGATCTTTAACAGTTTTTGTCTGTTACTAGATGAATGTATTCACTCTCTCTCTCTCTCTCTAACTCACGAATGATCCGCTGAGATGGAACGTGGCATTTTGTGGTTTCACTGTGTAAGAAGGCAGTGCCGGCCGGACACATTCAGAATGGTTGTGTGACTGAAAAAAACAGCACCTGAATGTTACGTCTCAAATAGGCAAGTGTAATTTTTTTAGAATAATTTGGCATCCTGTGTTAACACACACACAGTTCTATTGTTAACATGGATGTGACAATGAAGTGGTTTAATATCTGTTCATTGTTGTGCAGCGGAGTGGTTAAATAGCTGTTTATTGTTGGACAATATAGTGGTTTAATATCTGTCCATTGTTGTTAGCAAGTAAAGGGCTTATATATATCAAGTTATTACATTAAGTTCTGTACCTGCGACTATCTGTACGTCGTGCAGCTGACGGTAGTCTAGCAGCTTCCGCAGCAGCTTCACGTATTCCACGTCCGGCTCTCGTTCGTTCCAGATCTGCGAGAGAAAAAAAAACACACACTGAACGTCGTTTTCAGCCGCGGCGGAATCTCTCGACGATTTGCGCGACTTCTCGGAGATTTGCGAGTCAGTGCGACGATTCGCGCGTCGCCGACGTTGTCGCAATTTGCCGCTGCGAGGGTGGAGGGAGATTACGGAAGCACGACCTTGCACGACCTTGCGAACCAGATCGTGTCCGTCACCCAGTTGTGTCGTCGGTGGCTTCGAGTCGTGAGCGTTGCCGTAGGGAAATTGCTCAGAAATGTCAGGAATTTCTCCTAGATATTTAATTTGCTCTAATAATATCTCGTCGAGATGGGACTCTTTCGTAAAGGCACTCCAATGTTCCGCAGAAATTGAATTAATGCCGCCCTCCCCTTTTTCTTGCTTGAACGTCCCAAGATGGTTGAATAAAACCCTGTCTTAACCTTACGGTGTAAGAACTCGGCTGCTGTGCACCACTCTACACGTTGACGTGGCTATAGGTTTCCTACTGCTGTCATTTGCACTCTGGATGGCTACAGGTAATGAATATTTTCAAAAAACGCAACGTTTTACCCACCACATATGATCAATAGTTAATCATGGCATGGTGATTTTCCTCGATGGATTTGCACAATGCGATGCATGTAACATCCCTGTAGGCATTCGGCTGTTATTTTACACTCGTGATAGCCCGCACAGACTAGTAAGTCACGTACACATGGTCCTCTTTTATGCCAGCAGGTTTTTTCACTACAGATCTCTACAAGATGTCTATTTTCAGCATTGTTAAGTGGGAGTACTTAACGATTGTTTTTTTATACTCGTTGACACACAAACAATCCTTATAAAACAGCATGTATA